GTTAAGAAATGAGCATAATATCTAAATCGATATTCCTCCAAATCAGACACACAAATGACCACTGAATACATAAAAGATATTTAACATCATTAGTCATGAGGGAAATGCAAATGAAAGCCACCATGAGATGCGACTTCTTACTAGGATGGCTAAAATAAAAAAGTCAGATAACAAATAACGAAGATGTGGGATTCAAATACATTCCTGGTGGAAATGTAAAGTTTTTACAGCCACATTGGAAAACAGTTTAGCCGTTTTTCAAAAAGTTAAGCATTGAGCTACCATATGACCCAGCAGTTGCACTCCTAGATGTATCCTCAAGAGAAATGAAAACATATATTTCCATGGCATCTTACAAGTGAATGTACATAGTAGTGATATTCCTAATAGCCAGTAAGTGGAAACAGTCCAAATATCCATCAATAGTGAATGGATAAACAAAGTGTGGTATATTCATATAATGGAATATTATTTTCCTATTGAAAAGAAACTAAGTACTAATGTTTGCTACATGGATGAACCTTGCAAACGTTATGCCAAGTGACAGACGCCAGTCACATAAGACTGTGTATTGTATGGTTCCATTGAGTACATAAAATGTTTAGAATAGGCAAATCTATATGACAGAAAGTTGATTAATGGTGTTTGGGGGATGAGAGTGTAGGTGGGTAGAGGGTGGCTAGTGATTGCTTATGGTTTTTTTTTTTTCGAGTTATAAAAGTGCTATAAAATTAGAATGTAGTTATGATTGTACAATTCTGTGAGTTTACTAAAACAATTTGGTTGTACTGTTCACACAGGTAAATTTTATGGTGTATGAATTAAGTTTCAGTAAAGTTCTCTATTTTATGCTTATTATAGAAAAGATGGAAAATATTAAAAAAACATAAAGAGGATAAAAGAAGAAAGTAATCCTGATTATGTATTTAGAAATCTTTTTGGGGAGGATGGGGTATGAACCACACATAGAAAATTTAGTTTCCTGCTTTTTCAATTAAATTGAGAAAGTTTGGGAATCTCTGGCTTAATTATTCATCTGTTCCTCTATTGCTGGATATTAGGTTGCTTCTATTTCATGTACAATTTTATAATTTTTGTTGATGTATTATGCATTCTTGTGCATAAACTTTATGAATTTTGAAGTTTTTTTTTTTTAGGAAAGAATCTTGGAAGCTATTATTATTTTTTGAGACGGAGTTTTGCTCTTGTTGCTCAGGCTGGAGTGTAATGGTGCGATCTTGGATCACCACAACGTCCACCTTCCAGGTTCAGGGGATTCTCCCGCCTCAGCCTCCCCAGTAGCTGGGATTACAGCCATGTGCCACCGTGCCCAGCTAGCTATATTAGTTTTCTAAAACTATTATAACAAATTAGCATGGACCAAGTGGCTTGAAACAACAGAAATTTAGTCTCTTAGAGTTTTAGAGACCAAACATCTGAAATCAAGTGGTCTGCAGCGTTGGCTCCTTCTGGAGGCTCCAAGGAGCATCCCTTCCTTCCATGCCTTCCTCCTGGCTTCTAGTGACTGCCAGTGATCCTTGAAATTGCTTGGTTTGTATATAGGTCACTCTAATCTCTGCCTCTGTCTTTCCATCTCCTTCTCTGTGGGTGTTCCTTCTCCCCTTCTCCTCTTTTGTAAGGATAGTTGTGTCACTGGATTTAAGGCCCACCGTAATCCAAGATGACCTCATTTCAAGGTGTACAACTTAATCACACTTGCAAAGAGTCTTTTTCTACATAAGATGATGTTAGATTCCTACCGTTCCACCCAATATGGAAGCAATGGAGTGGGAGGTACCAGTCAACTCACAGACTCCTACCATGGAACCCGCTGTAGAAGGAGTGGCTTCTCAAAAGGATGGGAGGTAGCTGTCGGAATGGTCTGCCCTAGGTGCAGGCAGAATGGGGAAGCATTTCATATAGAATGGAAAAATAACAGTAAAGCTGGCTAAAAGTTGATCTGCTTTTAACAATCATCATGTGCTGGCAATTCCAAACATTATCAATGATAAAATACTTTTCCCTAGTGGTATTAACTACACCATTTCTCCTGCCCCTGCTGCATACATGCTTTCCTGCTCGGAAACAGGATTACTTGGTGAAATAGTATGAATCTTTCAATATTCATGATATGTATTTTCAATATTAAGGGTGCCAACTTTATACAAGATAATACAAATACAATAGTATGAATAAATATGCTGACCTGATAGAAATGGTTTAATGTTTACTACTAGTGCAGTTGGACGTGTTAAGTATTGCACTGGTTACTTGTAATCTAGTTTTCGAAAATTTCCACTGTCACTATTTCTGTTAGACTCTTAGAAGACACGTGTTTCTCTCATTGATTTGTAACACTCTTTATATAGTAAGAATATAAGGCCTCTATAGGATTGCTGATACTTGTCACTTTTGTTTTACTTTTTTAGAGAGCAGAATATCTTAATTTCTATAAAGATTCTTGTTTCCTTTCATTGCATGCCAGTATTTGTATTTTTAAAAGCTTGAAACTTCTAGGCTGTGATGTGAAAAGTGTTTTGTGTTTTTTTTTTTAATTGGGAGACAGAGTCTTGCTCTGATTCATGCAGTGGTATGATCGTAGCTCAGTGCAGCCTCAAACTCCTGGCTCAAGTCATCCTCCTATCTCAGCCTCTCACCTAGCTGGGACTACAGGCGGACACCACTACCCCTGGCTAACTTGTTCTTGTTGATGAGATGGGGTCTTGCCATGTCGCTCAGGCTGGTCTTGAATACTGGGCTCAAGCGATCATCCTGCCTCAGCCTCCCAAAGTGCTGGAATTACAGAGGTGAGCCATTGTGCCCAGCCTCTTAATTTTATATATCCTTCATAACTATTCCATCTCTCTCTGTCTCTCTCTGTTTCTGTGTGTCTGTGTCTGATCATAGAATATATTAAATTTTATTTTATAACATAAGTATTTTCCAAGCTCAGTAGATTTGTTTATGATTCTAATGGCTGCATAGTATTCTGTCATATGGATATATTCTACTTCATGTAATAAGTTCTCAATTGTATGTTTAGTTTACTTCTAATTTACTGATTTATTTTATCACAAACACTGTGGATAGCCTTGAATATACTTTGCTGTACAATTCTTATTAGTACATTAGGATGATTTTTTTCACAAATACAATTACTTTCTGAGAATTAAGGTTTTTGATTCGAATGAAAGGCTTACTTTTATTGTTAAAAATTTGATTATGTTTGTGAGGTCTAGGCTGGAGGATTGTTTGAGCCCAGGAATTCAAAACTAACCTGGGCAACATGGGGAGAGCCTGTCTCTACGAAAGGAAAAAGTAAGGAATAAATGAGCCAGGCACGGTATGTGATGCTATTGTCCCAGGTAATTGGGAGGCTGAGGTGGGAGGACCGTCTGAGCCTGGGAGTTTGAGAATGCAGGGAGTTACGATTACACCACTGGATTCCGGCCTGGATGACAGAGCAAGGTCTTATCCAGAAATAAATAAATAAATATATACAGAATAAGAGGGAATTTTTATAACAGGTTTCCACTTACCTATCCCTAGGCTTCCTTATAACATGTTCATTTTATCTGATCTCTACAATGAATTGTGTATCATTAAACAATATGTGCCCCTCCATTTAGACAGAACATTTCCCACTTGCTGTGTTTGCTTAGCACCTACCAAGTGCTGGGTCTTGTTTCTGCCTTTTTTTTTTTTTTTTTTTTTTTTAAAAAGACAGAATCTTGTTGTGTGGCCCTGGCTGGAGTGCAGTGGCACGATCTCGGCTCACTGTAGCCTCTGCTTCCCGGGTTCAAGTGATTCTCCTGCCTCAGCCTCCTGGGTAGCTGAGATTACAGGCATACACCACCACGCCTGGCAAATTTTTTTGTATTTTAGTAGAGGTGGGCTTTCACCATGTCAGTCAGGCTGGTCTGGAACTCCTGACCTCAAATGATCCACCCGCCTCTGCTTCCCAAAGTGCTGGGTTTACAGGCGTGAGCCACAGTGCCCGACCCTGTGTCAGCCTTTTTCACAGGCTGATTTCTCCTTTGTTATTTGTAACTATTTTAAGGGCTATTTTGATTTATAGACAAAGGCGGCGAGACTTGGATGAATTAAGGAAGAGTTAATCAGGTGGTTGAACCTGAGTTCCAGCTAGGGCGACATCTCCTCCTGGATTGCTTGCCACTGTCCTGGTTTTCACATGGAAAGTACTTTATCCCCAAAAGCCTCTCATCCCCAGCAACCGAGGACACTTGCTCACTCAAAGCCATGTGACATTGTAGGGTATCCCATTTCCAAATGGTTGGAATCTTGAACACGGAGAAAGAATCATCATTGTAATCCCAGCTACTCAGGAGGCTGAGGCAGGAGAATTGCCTGAACGCAGGAGGTGGAGGTTGCTGTGAGCCGAGATCGTGCTATTGCACTCCAGCCTGGGTAACAAGAGCGAAACTCCGTCTCAAAAAAAAAAAAAAAAAAAAAAAAAGGCCAGGCGCAGTGGCTCAAGCCTGTAATCCCAGCACTTTGGGAGGCCGAGGCGGGTGGATCACGAGGTCAACAGATTGAGACCATCTTGGTCAACATGGTGAAACCCCGTCTCTACTAAAATTACAAAAACTTAGCTGGGCATGGTGGTGCGTGCCTGTAATCCAAGCTACTCAGGAGGCTGAGGCAGGAGAATTACCTGAACCCAGGAGGCGGAGGTTGCAGTGAGCCGAGATCGCGCCATTGCACTCCAGCCTGGGTAGCAAGAGTGAAACTCCTACTCAAAAAAAAAAAAAAAAATTCGTCATTCCAGGCTGGGCGCAGTGGCTCATGCCTGTTATCCTAGCACTCTGGAAGACTGAGGTGTGCAGATCACCTGAGGTCAGGAGTTCAAGACTACACTGGCCAACATGGTGAAACCCTGTCTCAAAAAAAAGAAAAGAACTGGTCGTTCCTGAAGGAGCAGCAGTTGTCCTTGGTGGTAGTGTTTATGTCCACATAACTGGGAATATTTTATTTTTCAGGCCTCTCCATGTGCTTGTGTGCAATGCAGCAGCTTTTGCTCTCAGCTGGAGCCTCACAAAAGATGGCCTGGAGACCATCTTCCAGGTGAATCATCTGGGTCACTTCTACCTTGTCCAGCTCCTGCAGGATGTCCTGTGCCGCTCAGCTCCTGCCCGTGTCATTGTGGTCTCCTCAGAGTCCCATCGGTGGGTTTGAATCGCATATATTTTCACGTCTCCCCTTTCTCGCACCAGCTAATAATCCCCCCAGGCTCTCCTTCTGAAAATAATTTTCATTAGTCCTACTCTGAGACATGTGGCTGGACCCCACCTGGCTGGCTTAATTTTTCCGGGTCTTCTTTTGTGTGTCTGTCTGTTTGATTGTGGGGGACTGCTTCTACAACTATACTTCAAGCTCCTCATTGATTTTGCTTAGAGATGGAATAATAATTGATGAAATCTGAATGGCGTGACCTTTATTGATTTGTAATTCAACAACTTCAACATCCTACCGAGAAGAATGTGCAGTTATTCTAGCAGGAGAAACAATGCAATTAAAGCCTGCGAGATGAAATCCAATTGTTTTATAATGAGAAATTAGGGAATTCAATGCAGACATTAGCTGTGTAATTGTAGAAAGGGAAGTACTGTAGTTAGAGCATATTAGAAATCTGGCCATGCCTCTTTTGGTTAAAATTTCAATTAAAACATCAGATGGCACTTTTTTCCTATTACCATTAGGAGAATATTCAATTGACCGAAAAAGGCGTTGGAAAATTTCATCGTATTTTCAGCAATTTGTTTCCAGAGTTGGATAAACAACTATTTATCTAAAGAGAAATATTCTGAAAAGACAAAGGACTTGCTGGGTGAGGCTAGATTTAATCCATGTTAGGGAGATTTCCTGCTCACAGTTTCTTGGTGTGTGTTTTGGGGGAGGGGAGCTTGCACTCTTAGCAGAGTAGCTAGAAAAAAAAAATGTGTAAGGGGCCTATATTTTTCCTCCTTCTTTTCCGTCTTAAGTCCTGAAATGTTTTAGTGACCCAGAATGAAGCTTATTTTTTTAATCATACTTCCATAAAATGTAACCCCTGGGACTTGGAAGAGAGAGACCAGCCAAGGGTTAGCTTGAACCCTTTATCACTCCCAAACACAGGGGCTTATGGTATAAGTGACACACTGCAGATAGATTTACTTGTGCCATTTTAAATTTATGATGGTTGGAATGAAAGGAAAATGCCAGTAATAATCCTCCCCCGTGTTAAAAGACATGAAACATCTAGTAATTAGGTGGTAACAAAATCTGGACAGCCTTATCTTGCAAATCATACCAGGTTTGTGAAAAAAATGTGGAGTGGCCCTGTTAAGGGGCGAGGGAGGCTTTTGTGGGGGTAGGCAGCAGAGAGAGCTCCAGAAATAAATCTGCCAGCCCCAGTCATCCACCAGATGTGGAGGGCACCACGGGATATGTTTAAATGAGCTGGTATTTAACGGGAGATTATGTCGAGTTGTCAGCTGCTCACTCTCCTTTGTAAATCTGTATCTCAAATGGTATTTCGTGTGATGTCTTTGTTCTCTCCTTAACTACAGTGTAATTCATGCCTATCTTGGAGATCTGAATCTTAGTTTCTTTTAAAAGATTAATTTGAAAGGAAGGGTCTTGGGCTTTTGAATTAGATCTGTGTTTGTTTATAGGGAGGCCTTCCTGAAATGTGTTGTCAGGATTATTCCTGCTTGATGGCTGCCACTGGTTTTCTGCTTTCCAAGTATTCTTTGCACATTATTATTTTTATTTTGAGATGGAATCTTGCTCTTTCTCCAGGCTGGATTGCAGTGGCGTGATCTCGGCTCACTGCAACCTTCACCTCCTGGTTTGAGTGATTCTCCTGCCTCAGCCTCCTGAGTAGCTGGGACTACAGGCGCTTGCTATCACACCCAGCTAATTTTTGTATTTTTAGTAGAGACAGGGTTTCACCATGTTGGCCAGGATGATCTCCATCTCCTGACCTTGTGATACACTCACCTCGGCTTAAAGTGCTGGGATTACAGGCGTGAGCCACTGCACCCGACCTGTTTGCACATTATTTAAGGGTGTTTTAACAGAATGGGAATTCCCCCAGGCTGGCTTGTATTATTACCTTTGCATTGCATCCCTTGGTTCCTGTGAGTGAGCATGGTGACTTGGTTCACAGGCATTACATGAAACATTTGCTCACTACTGAAGAACCCAGGGCCCTAAACCGTTTTGCAAAATATAAGTGTTGATATCTAATTACCTCCATAAACCTTGGCAGAATCTCTTCGTTGGAGTCAAGACCCCCTGTTAGGGGAAAAAATAAACTCATGTTTGCAGAAAATATTAGACTAGACTGCCCCAAGGCAAAATATTTATTAGCCTTCCTGTGTCTTCACTGAGTTTTAGTTACTTATCTGGAATCTAAGCAAGTGAATGGAGTTTCTGCATACCTAAAATACATCATGGTGAAATGACAAGTTGATTTCCTTGCTGTGAAAAAATTTCAAATAACAATTAAAGTAGAAAGCAAAGAGTAGAGTGTTGTTTGACCAACCCTTAATGGCTGCAGCTGGATTGAGTGCCACATAACCCTCCCCTCCACAAAATCACTCTCTCTCACACACACACACACACACATACACACAATGTTTCTGAGCCTTTGTTTAGATAGAATACAGCCTAATTATTTTAGGTGGGAGTTTTAAAAAAGCCTCAATAAAATTGGGCTTGGTGGCACATGCCTGTAATCCCAGCTATGAAGAGCCTGAGGTGGGAGAATGGCTTGAGCCCAGGAGTTTCAGGTTGCGGTAAGCCTTGATCATGCCACTGCACTCCAGCCTGGGTGACAGAGTGAGACCGTGTCTCTAAAATAAATTTTTAAAATTATCAGTTAAAAAAATGCATTATAGGCCAGGCACGGTGGCTCACGCCTATAATCTCAGTACATTGGGAAGCTGAGGTGGGCTGATCGCTTGAACTCAGGTGTTCGAGATCAGCCTGACCAGTATGGCAAAACCCCCTGACTACTAAAACTACAAAAATTAGCCAGGTGTGGTGGTGCACGCCTGTAATACCCGCTATTTGGGAGGCTGAGGAGGGAGAATTGCTTTAACCTGGGAGACAAAGACTGCAGTGAGCAGACACTGTAGCAATGTGCTCCAGCCTGGGTGATAGAGCAAAACCCTGTCTCAAAAAACCAAAAACTCAAAAAGCACAACCCCCACAGTATATATAGAAGTACAAGATGACGGGGGTCTCCCTACAAAGCAAGTGTTAACGCCCACTGACTGAGCAGATGATAAACTGGTAATGTACTAGTAAGGGAGAATTCTATTAAGACATAATTGTTTGGCTTTGTCAGTTTTTCAACTTGAAAATAGAGTTGGCAGCCTCTGAAGAGTTGTTTTATTCCCTCTGGAACTGAGAGGTGAACACAGTTGTTTTTCAGGAAGCCTTTCTCAGCTCAGAGAGAGCAGAAGCTGGCCCACCATTGCCACTTCCTGGAGGACTGTCACTGCTAGCCAATCAGACAGTAAAAGTGGAGCTTCTGCCCAGGAGACAGTGGGAAGAAACACTGGGGTCAGCCTTACAGCAAAGGGCTGTTTGCAGACGGAGTGCCTGATGTGTAGCAGCTGGTACTTCTCCATCTTGAAACTGTCCTTCATCCTGGTTCTGTCTAATTTCCCATCGTGGGATTTTTTTTTTTTTTTTTTTTTGGTCTTGTTTCTAGATTAGAGATCAAGAAGAAATGACTTTTTCCTCTTAGAAGTTTAATTTAGCCAGGCGCGGTGGCTCACGCCTGTAATCCCAGCACTTTGGGAGGCCGAGGTGGGTGGATCACGAGGTCAACAGATCGAGACCATCCTGGCCAACATGGTGAAACCCCATCTCTACTAAAAATACAAAAAATTAGCTGGGCATGGTGGTGTGTGCCGTAATCCCAGCTACTCAGGAGGCTGAGGCAGGAGAATTGCCTGGACCCAGGAGGCGGAGGTTGCAGTGAGCCGAGATCGCGCCATTGCACTCCAGCCTGGGTAAGGAGCGAAACCTCGTCTAAAAAAGAAGAGAAGTTTAATTTAATCCATGTTCCCTAGTCATTAGTTACTTCTGTGTTATCCTTGAAAAGCTAAACAGAGGGCTGGGCCCCATGGCTCATGCCTGGAGTCCCAGCACTTTGGGAGGCCGAGGCAGGGCATATCATGAGGTCAGGAGATTAAGACCATCCTGGCTAACATGGTGAAACCCCATCTGTACTAAAAATACAAAAAATTTGCTGGGCATGGTGGCACGTGCCTATAATCCAAGCTACTCTGGAGGCTGAGGCAGGGAGGTCGCTTGAACTGGGAAGGTGGAGGTTGCAGTGAGCTGAGCTTGCGTCCACTGCACGTGGGTGACAGAGGGAGATTCCGTTTCAGAAAAAAAAAAAAAAAAACAGCAGGGAGCTTACTCTAAGCTGTAGAAAATCACTGTGTATGACGGCGCATACCTGTAATAGCAGCTACTTAGGAAGCCGAGGCAGGAGCTGAGAATTAGCATGGGCAGCAAAGCAAGACCCTGTCTCTAAAACAAAAAATACGTAACCAAAAACCAAAATCCCGCAACATTAGGAAGTCCCATAGTTAAATATTAATGAAAAACATAGAAGAGTTGAACTTAGTGGTAAGTTTTACCTTTAGAGCAAGAGTTGAAACAAGGGAAACTGTCAGATTCTCATCACGGGATTTGTGTTCCTTTATTTTTTTATTAAGGGTTTGGTCTTTGCTTTGGAATTCCAAACCATGACCAAACTTCGGTTCTCTGTTTCAGTGTTGAGTCCTTACTGTGTGTCAGGCACTGGACTAAGGGACGTTCAAGAATCTTACATTCAGGCCCAGCGCAGTGGCTGATGCCTGTAATCTTAGCACCTTGGGAGACCGAGGTAGGTGGATTGCCTGAGGTCAGGAGTTCCAGACCACCCTGGCTCACATGGTGAAACCCCATCTCTACTAAAAATGCAAAAGTTAGTCAGGCATGTTGGCGGCCGCCTGTAATCCCAACTTCTTGGGAGGTTGAGTCAGGAGAATTACTTGAACCCAGAAGGTGGAGGTTGCAGTGAGTTGAGATGGTACCACTACACTCCAGCCTGAGCGACAAAACTGAGACTTCATCTCAGAAAAAAAAAAAAAAAAGCCTTACGGTCTGCTTTCCAGGAGTTCACAATCTAGTTGGAACCAGGTGAAAATCGACTTACAATCTGGTATGGTGATGACAGAGGAACAATGTACAGACAGAACAGGAAGTTGGCACGGTGAGCATCTTGACTGATCTTGGAAGGTCAGCGGTGCCACTGAACACCAGGAATGGGGTCATGGCCTGGGTCCTGAAGAGTGGATACTTACTGTCCATGGAAACGTGCATTTTTACCTCCCTTGCATGGCTTCTTTCATTCTGTCCCCGACTTCCATCTAAAAAACTTGCTGTGACATCCAACTGTGGAAGAGTTCATTACACAGAGCTTTCTGGAAGAAGTAGTCCCTGAACTGGGTCAGGCTAAACAAATACTCCAAGAAGGGTTTCTGGCTGCAGTTGATAAAAGACGAGTCAAGAGTGGGAATGGTTGGTGCTATATTTATTCCGTACCTATTAAATGTTCTCTAAATTTTTGTCCCTTTTTTCTATGCCATGTAGGTAGAGTTTTCAAGTCACGTCCCATAACTTGGATCATTGGATTCTCAACTCAGTAGCCCCTTGGTGTGACAACTCTTCTATAATGCCTTATTATTATGTTGAAATAAAGTTTGGAAATTACATGCACAAATATATATTTAATTCCATATAGCTTTACTGATACGCAAAGAAAAATAACCGCGAAACAAAATAGCATGTGTTGCAACATGTAAATGCTCAAGTCGGGCTACAGGAAAGATGAGATGCAGCGTCCACGGATAGTCACCTTGAATGCACCCTCAGAAAATGCACACTGTCACCAGGTGTGTGGTATTGTGGACTCCAGTACCACCAACACTGAGTGATGCTTCACTGTGGTAGTTTGTTCTCCCACTGCTAATAAAGACATACCTGAGACTGGGTAATTTATAAAGGAAAGAGGTTTAATGGACTCACAGTTGCACATGGCGGGGGAGGCCTCACAAACATGGCGGAAGATAAAGGAAGAGCAAAGGGATGTCTTTCATGTCAGCAGGCAAGATAGCTCGTGCAGGGGATCTCCCATTTATAAAACCATCAGCTGGCTGGGCACGGTGACTCACACCTGTAATCCCAGCACTTTGAAAGTCTGGGGCAGGCAGATCACCAGAGGTTGGGAATTTGAGACCAGCCTGACCAACATGAAGAAACCCCATATCTACAAAAAATACAAAATGACTCAGGCATGGTGGCACATGCCTGTAATCCCAGCTACTCGGGAGACTGAGGCAGGAGAATCCCTTGACACTGGGAGGCAGAGGTTACCATGAGCCAAGATTGCGCCACTGCATTCCAGCTTGGGCAACAAGAGTGAAACTCCGTCTCAAAAAAGAAAGAAAGAAACCATGATATCTCATGCGACTTACTCATTACCACAAGAACAGTATAGGGAACTGCCTCCATGATTCAGTTATCCCCACCTGGTCCTGCCCTGGACACATGAGGCTTCTTACAATTCACAGTGAGACTTGGGTGGGGACACAGCAAACCATATCACGCACCCTCCAAGAATCACACACATTCTGAAAGTGTATTTTCTTCGTGTGCACACTTGTTGCACTACCCACCTGGAAATTCAGTGGATATTTTGAGGCTCAGATAATTATCCACAGGCTTTTCATCTAAATGAGTGTCTGGGGAGGCGGGGGGCAATCTTTGTTGAGCAAGACTTCACCTGCATTACAAGACGTCTACCATCCGTGCTGCCATCACCAGCCATCATGTGACGAGCAGAAAAAGGCCGTCATACATTTTCAGAATTCCTGCTAAGTTCCACTACCTTACAATTAAGCCTGGAAGTCGGGCTCTTCCTATGGTTTGGGTACCTGAAAACAGGCAGCCAACAGTTCATTTGAAGGTCTCATTTCTCTATCCTTGATGATGTTTCTCGCCATGAGATGTGTTGAGGACTTTAGGGCAGCAGTGTATTTAACACTAGAAATTGGATGTCAGTGACTGAGTCCTGTGGAAGGGATATTTAATTTCCATTAAAATATGAATTTCATCTGCCCTTCCGATGCTTTTCTTGGTCTTAGCCCAACCGGAGCTGCTGATACTAAGGAACGAAAGGATTATTCCATAATTTTCATTTTACCTTTTCCTTTCTGTTTTTCTTAGCAGTTTTCTAGAGGTCTCCCATTATGCTTCCTCATGACTCTGCGCCCAGAATGAACTTAGAGAAGCAGAATATGAGGGCTCCTTTTGACAAAGATAAGACCCTTTAGAAAATTCCTTTTGTTTGGTGTGATCTATTTTTTTAAGGGCAGTCACTACATTGTTGTTATTTAAGAGAAAGGGAGACAAAGGGAAAGAAACAAACAGCTGGTGTTTAACGACTCCGTGAGACCCAATTATAAAACATCAACTAGTTAGTTTGATTTGTGTGCCTCCACGCCCTGGGTATACTTAAAAACATTGGACTGTGCCAGAACTCATCTTGGCTTTGTTTACATTTATCTTTTAAACCTATAAGACTATTGATGGCACGTCACCAAGGTTATAACCCCTTTATAATCATTAATTTTTAATCTGGAAAAGGGTCTTGGAGGCAACAAGACTCATCTATATTTTCCTGGATGCTCAAATGAAAATATACAGGACTCAAGCATTAGCTAAAATAATCCAGGAAAGCCCCGTCAAAGGTTCGGAATGTGATATCTTTCTGTTTCTAAAAACAGCAGCCCTTTATTTAAGATGCTTTTCCATTTAATTTAATTATCTTTGAACTTCCTGTTGAAGGTTTTGAAAAATATATGTTAGAGGGTGGGGAGGGACTTCAGCATGTTGGGGGGTGTTCAGCATGTTAAGATTGCTCCATTTATGGGTGTGGGTCTTTACTGAAATCTGCCTTTGGAGGCAATGCTTTTTTCTTTAATTTTTAAATTTTAATTCTTATTTTTAGAGATGGGGGTTTCTGTTGCCCAGGCTGGAGTGTAGTGGCACAATCATAGCTCACTGCAAGTTCGACCACCCAGGCTGAAGCAATCCTCCGCCTGCCCCCGCCCCCCGCCCCTCCCAAGTAGCTGAGACCACAGGCACGTCCCGCCATACCCAACTAATTGCTTATTTTTTGTAGAGGTGGTGACTCCCTATGTTGCCTAGACTGGTCTTGAATTCCTGTGTTCAAACAATCCTCTCTCCTCAGCTTCCTAAAGTACTGGGATTACAGCCATGAGGCACCGTATGTGACCTGTGTTGATACTGTTAAGTCACCACTGTCAATATTGAGGGGAGACTTTGTTTTGATGATGCAAGATTGAGGTTTTAGTCATCTCTACAGAGTTTCCTCAGATTCCTTTTTTTTTTTGAGACGGAGCTAATCTGTCACCCAGGCGTACAGTGGCGTGATCACGGCTCAGTACAACCTCTGCCTTCCGGGTTCCAGCGACTTCTGCCCCAGCATCCCGTAGAGCTGGGATTACAGGCATGCCATCACACCTGGCTGATTTTTGTGTTTTTAGTAGAGAAGGCGTTCTGCCATGTTGGCCAGGCTGGTCTCAAACTCATGACTTCAGGTGATCTACCCTTCTTGGCCTCCCAAGGTGCCAGGATTACAGGTGTGAGCCACCCCACCCAACCTCCCTCAGATTTCTAATAAAAAGCTGGCCCCATGCGAAGGCTCATGCTTGTAATCCCAGCACTTTAGGAGGCCAAGGAGGGCGGATCACGAGGTCAAGAGATCAAGACCATCCTGGCCAACGTGGTCAAACCTCGTCTCTACTAAAAATACAAAAATAAGCTGGGTGTGGTGGTGCACACCTGTAGTCCCAGCTACTTGGGAGGCCGAGGCAGGAGAATCACTTGAACCCGGGAGGCAGAGGTTGCAGTGAGCCGAGAACACGCCGTTGCACTCCAGCCTGGCAACAGAGCGACACTACGTCTCAAAAATAAAATACATACATAAATAAGTAAGATAAAAATAAAAAGCTATATGGAATGTCAAAACTTGGTCGTTCCATGTCGTGTTTCCTGTTTTTAAGATTTACAGATATTAACGATTCCTTGGGAAAACTGGACTTCAGTCGCCTCTCTCCATCAAAAAGCGACTACTGGGCCATGCTGGCTTACAACAGGTCCAAGCTCTGCAACATTCTCTTCTCCAACGAGCTGCACCGACGCCTCTCCCCACGCGGGGTCACCTCGAATGCAGTTCATCCTGGGAATATGATGTACTCCAACATCCATCGCGGCTGGTGGGTGTACACGCTGCTGTTTACCTTGGCGAGGCCTTTCACCAAGTCCATGGTAAGAGAACAGCTTCTGGCGCCGCAAACACCTTGGGTCCTAGAGAAACCTGCACACGTGTGTCTCCACCTTTCCACTTTTTGCAGGGACGCGTCTGGTCTCGATAATTGCATTGTCCAGCCCATTGTAAAGGGTTCTTGAACACATTCACGTCAATGTTAGGTGAAATCTGTTCTTGTAAATGCGCCTTGGAGGGCTGGGTGGAAGATGTGGTTTCTCAATAGCACGTTAAGTATGGCTGAAAGTCCTTATGGAAATGATGATGTGGGTTTTTCGGATGATTTGGTTTTTTATTTGGAAACTTTGAGAATCTCTTTCATTGAGTGCAGCGCTTGAAAACTGCCGTTTTGTGTCGGTAGGTGAACAGCATACATTTGTGACAACTGAAGTTTCAGCAGGTGTGATTCCTTTGTTTCATAGGTAATCTGTATCTGATGTTCTGAATCCTTCTTCTAATTGGTGTAAAGCTCTCTTGGAGATCCTTTGATGGCTAGGAGTGGGTTTTCTTCTTTATTTTCCCAAAGATGAATTATTTTGGATGACGCGCTTACCGTGGTTACATTTGAAAGTGTTTACAAAGGTGATAAGACATTTTTATGTTTTCGATGGTTATTTATCAACCATATGAAAAACTTCTTCTGTGAACCTGTTGTAGTAGGAAGTCATTTGAATGAAAAAAGCACACTTTATACAATATATTTGGTAGATTATTTTTCAAAACCAAAGGACTTCAAAAATGTCTTTGGATACCAGTATTCCAGTTACCCAAACTTAAAATCTGCTCTACATTAATCATCCTTTTTCCAAACAAATATCCCAGGCCTGCAGAGTTGGACCTTGGATATTAATAAAACAAAGCAAAACAACAACAAAAAACAAGTGTCACAGGCCTGACTGTTAGCCTCCAACTCCTCTCACAGCCGCGGAAACTGCTGCTTTCTCTTTCTCTCATTCCCACCTGCCCTCCTTAACCTTCACCTTTGGGGAGGACTTTTAAAACCGCATTAAAGTCGTTAGAACTGCTTAGGACTAAATAAGTAAGTACGTCTTTTATTCTGCTCACCCACGTGGTTTTTATGCTAAGTAAACAGACATATTCCAAGAGCTGAATACTTAAGATCCCTTGCAGTGAAAGGATGTATGGAGGAAGGTTCTCCATGCCACAGGGAGGGATGGATGTCTCGGAAGTAAATGAATGAAATTTACCTGCAGGTGGATCACAGAGTTTTGAAATTTCCCTATCACTTTGCTCTCGACGATTACATAAGCACAGCCTCTTCTTGAAGGTTTCTGTGCCTGTGGTTATGCCTCAGAGGCTGTTCTGTCCTTCAAATGCATTGCCATAAAAGAAGAAATACGGATCTGAACTGGGTGCCAATGCCATTTAAATGAGGAGTTTAGGAGAGGAGAGAGGCGGATTCTTCCTGATTTTCTGCTGGCCCAGTGCCTGCCTTCCACATTAACAAGCCCAGTCATCAACCATGATTTGTGATCTTTGGGTCTTGAGTCATCTCACTTGCATCTGATCACTGATGGGTTCTAAGGATCTCCTTTCTATGGCATCAGATAGTTTGTTTTCTCCTCCTTCCGTAAGGTGCCTAATCAGAGAACATGATGGGAAAGATGTGGAGATGGATTTGGGACTGTATGGAATTCAGTGAAGGGTGATGTAACCATCCTGCCTTTTGTCATAGACTCTAATGGATGAGGACTTGTCAGAAAATAGTGGAAACTGTTATTCTGTCGCCTGATCCCCTTGCTTAGGGATTCTGGGCCAGGGCAGGAGGGAAAAGAAGGAAGACAGTTTCTGCTAAAATAAAGGTAGGGTAAATATTTTTATTTATTGGAGGAGAGTTGTCTATTATCTAATATTGAATATAATATACTTCATCAAGTCAGACTTGAATGTTGGCTAATTGCACCTAACTGGAGTATTTCTCAAAAGTACCAGCAAACTAAGTTGGGTAGGTGACTGTGTTATATCAGAGTGTTGCTGTTTTGGGGTTCAGTGTCCTCAGGACTTGGGCCCACTGGATAACCAGAATGTGGGGTTAGAAATGGAAGCAGAAGCGTGACCATGTGGGTGAGGTCAAGAGATTGAGACCATCCTGGCTAACATGGTGAAACCTTGTTTCTACTATGAATTAGTCTCTACAATGAATTAGATGAAGGTTTCCACTCAGTGAGCACCATACCCGGAGCGTGTCCCAGTGATACCAGTCGCCCAGCCTCCACGCCTAACTCCTTCCCCTACCCCACCGAGGAACAGAAGGCTCTGCTGCATCCTACCGCAGTCTCTCCTGTCCTGCTGGCAGGAGAGCTCAGAGACCACTTATGAACAGGTCTCAGTGCCTATAGCAAGGCAAGGCTTGGGAGAAACAAATGTCCTCTGGGAGCATCCCTGGGTAAGAGATTAAATGCGCACTGTGCTGTACGGCCCTGGGTGAGAAAGGTGTGGGAAAATCAGTGGATAGCTCATGAGAGTATTTGGAAAAACGTGGTGACATCACAAAAACTCCAGGTTTTGTGGAAAGTGTATGGGGAGGGGCACTCACAGAAAGGGCAGGGGACATTAGCATTTCCCTTGTACTTGAAATTGGATTTGACGTGGCTTCCTGGTGGTGGCAAGAGAAGAAAGTGGCCTGGGATAGTGGACCTCACAGCTCTCCTGCTAATGTTGCTGATGGCAAGGCTCGGCTCTTACCCTTGACCATTGAAATAACTTAGGTCACCAGCTTTCTGAGCCTATCTCCTTCTGACGACAATTGCGAATCAGGTTGGTATAAGGACTGACAATAATGCATGTCACATCAGTAATGATGCAGTGATGATAATCTGGCTCTCCAGTATGGTAGCCATGGGCCACATGTGGATATTGAGTGCTAAAAACGTGGCTGACAGAACTGAGGAAGTGAAGTTTTGATTTGATTTCATTTTAGTTAATTGGAATTGAAAAAACCACATGTGCTGAGTGGCTGCCATGTTGGAGAGCACAGTCCAATGCTCTGCCTAGCACAGTGCCTGTCCCATAGGAGGTGTGTAGCACGTGCTTCTTGCCACAACGTCTGTGACTCTTCTGGCTGTGAGCAGTACCTTGGTCCCGGTGATTATTCTCCAAAATGCAATCTCTGCTGATGAAACAAGAATCTGTCAATTGGGAGTCTGGAAGGGGAAGGGAAGGGCTTTACCCCTGACCCCAAAGATTCCGGGAGAGGTTTACTGGCCAAATAGGAAGGGGGACCAGGTGGAGAGAGCCTGACTCAGTGATCTCCAACTTGCACGTCTTATTTGTGAGGAAGCCATAGTGGCGTGGACTTTTCTTGTTCTTGACCTTGAGTGATTATAAAATAGCAACTTTTGCTGGGTGTGATGGCTCATGCCTGTAATCCCAGCACTTTGGAAGGCTGAGGCGGGTGGATCACAAAGTCAGGAGTTCAAGACCAGCCTGACCAAGATGGTGAAACCCTGTCTGTACTAAAAATACAAAAATTAGCCAGACCTGATGTTGAGCGCCTATAACCCCAGCTACTCAGGAGGCTGAGGCAGGAGAATTGCTTGAACCCAGGAGGTGGAGGTTGCAGTGAGGTGAGATCACACCGTTGCACTCCAGGCTGGGCAACTGAGCAAGTCTCTGTCTCAGGAAAAAAAAAAAGCAACAAAATGGCAACTTTTATATGCCATAAGGGGACTTTAGCTAAGCATGAAGATTATGAAGAGTATGACATACATAGCTAAGTTTAGATTCTTACCAAAATCCTCTCAGTATATTTATGTATTTAAGCGTTTGGTTGTCTTTTTAGCCGTCAGGGTTCTATAGATTAGGTTGGTGCAAAGGTTACTGTGGCTTTTGCCATTGAAAGTACTATCTCACTTCATGCAGAGGTGGAGTGGGCATTGTGAGCTTACTTGTCAAACTCACAGGCATTCACTTTTCTTTCATAAACATTTAGGATTCTGCATTTAGAAGAGGGATCCCCATGAAGGTAGACCTGGGATTGGTCATTTTCCTAGTAATATAGACTGGATTGACTGGAAAAATCACCCTCTTGGACTGTCCTGTGTATATCGGCTGGCATTGCTTCCAAGGGATAAAGCATCTCTTTCTGGGGCAAAGGGTATACTTCTGCCATTTTAAAAGATGTATTATGGGCCATAAACCATGTAGCTGTATCCCATTTCTTCCCCAGGTAAAGATTTGGTTTCTAAATGCTAATCGAGAAGCTTAGCCGAGATGGAGTCTCCCTATCACCAGATGGCTAGTGTGCTCTGCTTTGTCTGCCTTTCACCTTGCAGAGGGTGTTTGTTTCTGACATGAGTATTGCTGGATACACATTCCATTGCGTGAGGTCCAGGGAGCAAGAAATACAACCCAGCCTTGCGCTCAGAAGCCCTGCCTTCGTTTCTCCACTGTAGCCGGCTCCCTTAAGTATTAAACAGCAGTGTTCTAATATCAACGTCCCTTTTTTATTTGCAGTGACTTGCTGTGACTATGGTGATTTTAGTTACAGTAATTAGGTCACCCTTCATGGAGTCAGGCTATTTTAAGTGCCTCTTTAAGGAATATTGTTGCAGATCAGTAATTTTACAATTGGATGTTCTTGTGCAACTTTATTAAATGTAATCTGTCTTTTAAATGTTGCCCTTTTACAGTTATACATTTCTAATTGTTGCTGTAAATGCATTATCGCTTTGAAATTAATTAATTTTTCCATTTTGGCCGCCTGCAGTATAATAATCGCTAATGAGAAACTCATAGGAATCAATTCTCAGCACAGCGGCCCCTACTGGTAATGCCATGTCTCTGCCACCCTTTTCCTCTTGAGATCCAGAGCACTGGACAAGGGTATTGGGTGAGTCCTGGGGAGAAGCGTTTGTTCCCTCTTGCCTCCAATTTATGGTAAAATAAAAATGATAAACATGGAAATTGAGTTATTTTTAAATGTCATTCACAAAAAAGATGCATGATCCTTCAAACAGCTGCTTCTAAAATATCTGAAACT